CATTAAGGAGGGTGGATTAATTAAGGGGGGAATTAATTATGGGTAGTGGATTAATTAAGGGGGGATGGATTAATTCGTGTGGATTAATTATGGGGGAGTGGATTAATTATGGGGGAGTGGATTAATTATGGGGGTGGATTAATTAGTGTGGATTAGTTAAGGGTGTGTGTATCAATTAAGGGGGTGGATTAATTAAGGGTGTGTGGATTAATTAAGGGGTAAGGATTAATTAAGGGGTATGGTTTAATTAAGGAGTGTGGATTAATTAAAGAAAACCTTTAAAAAATTTTACAGGTTTTGGGGGTGGGGTGGGGGGGGGGGGGGGGTGCCAAGCACAGGATCCGCCCCGGGTGCCAAATACTCTAGGTACGCCCCTGCAAAGTGTGCTTCATTTCCGCTGGTCAGAGCAATTTCCAAAGAACTTTCCCATGCTGTGTAAAATGACACAGAGCACTGTGATTGGATGGCTTGAAATCCATCCAATCATAGTTCCCTGTGTCAATTTACACAGCGTGGGAAAATTCTTTGGAATTTTCCCACGCTGTGTAAAATGACACAGAACACTGTGATTAGATGGATTTCAAGCCATCCAATCACAGTGCTCTGTGTCATTTTACACAGCGTGGGAAAGTTCTTTGGAAATTGCTCTGACCAGCGGAAATGAAGCACACTTTGCTCCTCCGCTGGTCAGAGCTGGTCAAGCGGAGGAAACCTCCATAAGGCAAAGAGTCCCTACTTTGTCTTGTGATTTTAAAGAAAACTAAAGAAGACAGGAAGAAAAGAAGAACAGGTCCTGAGAGAGGGGGAGAAGAGGAAGAGATTGAGGAAAGGTAAGTTCGGCATGACAGAGCCGCTTTAAGACACAGACACGAAAGAGTGCTTAACAAGTTCTCAATGAGTATATTTTCAGGGCTAGCATTTATACACAGTTTGTCACGCAAGCAGCGAGATTTATCGTTTCCCTGTAGTTAATAGTACATACTTGTCTGACATTAAAAGATAAGCATTTGAATAAAGACGGGACAGGAACATCCTGGGGTCGAGCGAGGTCATACATCCTGTAGAAGGGAGGCCTCTCAAAAGCATGTTACAGAATACATCCAGATTTTTGCCACCCTAGGCAAAAGTAAAGTTTGCGGCCCCCCCCCCAAGTGACATCACAATGCCCCACCCATATGATCTGCCATGTAAACTAACGCCAGTACTGCAGTGCCGCCGTGTTTACATTAAAAGGCCTGCAGGGACAGGCTATAGACAACAGAACCACTACATTAAGCTGCAGTGGTTCTGGGGACTATAGTGTTTCTTTAATGTGAGGTAAATTAGAGATTAGTGCCACGAATAATATACTAGATTGCCTTCTTACAACCAGATGAGCATGATGATGGGCTCTAGCTGCAGTCTGGCTCCACTGGTCTGGTGTAGAACAGGCTCTCTGGAGGCGGTTTGTAACTGTGGTCACAAAAATCAATGTTCTGGGAGAACGGGAAGCAGCTCCATTTTTTGGGGGCCTTTTATACAGCTCAAGGTCTGGGTCCCAGGGTCCACCTTCATGTTCTACCAATGAGTTTGTTCACAGGGGGTGGAGTGTGTAGGGGATGTCCTGATATGTGTGTAAGGAATGCATTGTGTGAATCTGTGTTTGTATGTGTAAGGGCTGCAAGGTGTGTTTCTGTGTATGTACGCGATGCAGTGTGTGCGTCTGTAAGGGATGCATTGAGTGTGTGTAAGTGGTGCATTGAGTGTGTGTAAGGAAAGCATTATATGTTTCTGTGTGTGTAAGGGATGCATTGTGTGTATGGTTTGCATTGCTTGTGTATGCGTGTCTGTGTGTGTAATGCATTGTGTGTGTAATGCATTGTGTGTTTTTCTGTGTGTAAGGGGTGCATTGTCTTTGTGTGTAAGGGGTGCATTGTGTGTGATTGTGTGTGTGTGATGGATGTCAATCTCTCCCCCCTCTCTTGTCACTTTCTTCTCCCCCCTCCCTTGTCACTCTTCTCCCCCCCTTGTCACTTTCCTCTCCCCCTCTCCCTCCCTTGTCACTCTCTTCTCCCCCTCCCTTGTCCCTCTCTTCTCCCCCTTGTAACTATCTTCTCCTCTCCCCCTCCCCCTCCCCACTTCATTCCCCCTCCCTCCCCCGTCAATGTCCGCGGGTACAGGGAGCTTTTGTTTCCTGTACCCGGCTGGACTAAAAGGAAGTGCACACTCAGTGTTAGTCCGGCCGGGTACAGGAGACAGATGCTCCCTGTACCCACGGACCATACAGAGCTCGGCAACGCTACAGTGAGGGAATGACAGGAGGGAGCGCTGAGCACGTCCCTCCTGTCAGCCCCTCTCCTCATGCTGCACCCGGGCGGTGCGCCCTCATGGACGCACCAGCCCGGGCAAAGATGCAGCTGCCTGAGGCTCTCTACAGAGTGCTCGGGCGGCTGCAGCATGAGGGGGGCCGGCGCTCCTGGCTGCGCCCTTTCCCACTGGGCGCCCTAGGCGGCTGCCTAGTCCGCCTAACAGGTAGCGCCGGCCCTGTATACATCTGCCAAGATCAGCATAATTATTTCAAACATTATTTTAAAGCATATAAAGCAAAAAGAGTTAACTTTTTCATATCCTTACAACCACCAGATGAGGACAAGAGGATGATGGTGGGCTCTGGCTGCAGTCTGGCTCCACTGGCCTGGTGTAGAAGAGGCTCTCTGGAGACTGTTTGTAACAGTGCTCACAAAAATCAACGAACCGGAAGCAGCTCCATTTTTTTGGGACCCTTACACAGCTCAAGGTCTAAGCCCCCAGGCCCTGACCATGAGTATGCCTACAAGGCTCACCCATATGTACACCTACATGGCCCACCCATGAGTTCACACACATGGAATGGAGTGCATGTGTGTAGGGGATGTGTTATGTGTTATTGTAGAGGATGTAATGTGTGTGTTCTTATGGACTATAGTGTATAGGGATACCAATTTGTGTAAAGGATATAGTGTGTGTATAGGGGATGCAGTGTGTGTTTGTGTGTAAGAAATGCATTGTGTGTTTCTCTGTGTGTGTGTGTGTGTGTGTTTGTAAGGGATGCAAGGAGTGTTTCTGTGTATGTAATGTAATGCAGTGTGTGTGTAAGAGATGCATTTTGTTTCTGTGTGTGTAAGAGAAGCAGTGTGTGTGTGTGTGTGTGTGTGCGTAAGGGATACATTGTGTTTTTAGGTGTGTCTGTGTGTGAGTAGGGATGCATTGTATGTTTCTGTGTGTGTGTGTGTAGGGATAAATTGTGTTTTTCTGTGTATGTGTAAGGATGCATTGTGTATGTGTGTGGTGTGAAAGAGAGGGTTTGTGGGGTGGGATAGGGGCTGAGAGGGGAGCCACACTTTATTTTCTTTTTATAGTGCTTTTCCCTCCCCTTCTGTCAATTTGTGATCCCCCCCCCCCGTCCATGAGTGCTCTCCCCAGCTTTCCCTCAAAGCTCTCCCCTCCTTTCACTTAGTGATCTCCCCTACCCATCTGTCCCTTAGTGCTCTCTCCTCCCCTCGCTTAGAGCTGTCCCCTCTGTCCTTAGAGCTCTCCCCCTTCTTAGTGGTCCTACCTCTCCTCCCCCTTCTTAGTGGTCCTCCCTCTTAGTGGTCCTCCCTTCCCTCTCCCCACCCCCTTAGTGTTATCCCCCTCTCTGTTGTGCCTCCTACCTATCTTTGTAGCATAGCTGGGCGGCGTGGACCGTGGTACAGGAGCGTCTGTTTCCTGTACCCGCCTGGACTGACAGGAAGTGCTCTCTCAGTACCATGGTCCACGCCACCTGGCTACGCTACATTGAGTGACTGGCAGGAGGATGCCTTGTGCGCTTCCCTCCTGCCAGGTCACTCAAATCTGGCGCCCCCTGGGCCAGTGAGCCCTAGGCGACTGCCTAAGTTGCCTATAGGATGCGCCGGCCCTGTATGCAGTGCCACCCACCTCAAGGCTATCACATAGTGACATTTATAGTTTACATTTTTATAACATTTTCCCAAAGGATAACCATTTGCAAAAATGAAGCAACTATAGTAAGATATATAGTAGTTATGGCATCTGGAGAGCCATTTCCCCACCACTCAATGTAAGTAGGCCCAGAAGAGCAGCTCTTAATTTAATTTGCTAGTTCCAGATCCCTCTCGGAATTTGTTAGAGCCTATTATTGTGCACCCAAGCATTGCCTTGATGAACCCATTAAGCGCTGCCTGTCTTACCGTATGCTAAGCCAAGTCCTTCCTGCGAGATGCATAGACTGACAATTTTTAGGGATAGTTTTAGAAAAAGGACAATTTGGATCCATATAACACCTTATAACCTGAGCAGTGATCCCCACTCTGAACCAGCAGTTAAATATTAGACAGACAGTTCTCTAAAGTGCTCTGTCTTCTGGTTACACTTTTCCCTGTGAGATGTTGCCTATTATATGCATAGGAGCTCACAGCAGCTTTGTGCTGGATCATCAGGCTTGCAAAAGAAGAAGTCACCGAATCCCAGTGAGTCCAAGTATGTTGTTGAAACTGTAGGCACCCAAACCACTTCAGCTCAATGAAGTGGTCTCGGTGCCAGGTCCATCTAGGTTTAACCCTGCCTGCTGTAGTGCTCTAGTGCCTCTAGTGATTTTTACAGTGAGAAGATGCTTTCCTATGGACTGATTTAATGCGCGTGGGGCTCTTGCCGCACATGCGAATTCGGCAGAAGAGTCCCCAGTGCCCGGTGGGAGGGGGGCCATGAGGGTGGGGTCACTGTAGTGGTCCTTTAAGGGTTGCCAGAGCACACCTGGCAATATAACCACTACAGGGAAGACAACTTTTTTACAACAAAGAAGAGATGCCCATCAAAACATTGAAGATAAAATACTCCTGATATTAATACAATAATACTTTTTAAATTAAATCTAGATAAAAATTTTATATTGAAAGCAAAATTACGAGGATCCTTTTTAAGTGCAGAACGTTGTCTTGATGAATTGACATCTGCAGATTGCAACTCCCAGGATGCTCAGCTTGTGCATCATCCACAGCAATTGAAAAGGTTGACGTTTTCTACGTTGTACTAACTCACCAGATATAGAGGTAATAGGGAGGTAAATGTGTTCTATTTAGAACTCTGGGCAGTCCAACTTACTCATGTTTTTGTGCAAAACTCTAGTACCACATGGATCTAAGGACGCCAAAAGCATCAGAGGCCCGTCTGTGAGCTCACTGAGATCCGATCAAGCTCTCTGCTGCCACTTACTGACTATTTATATTGTAAAGTAACACTTTAGGTACATATGTTCCTGGATATTGAAGAAACAGGATATTTTTGGCATCAGAAAATTGTGTAGGAAAGATTTCCACAGTGTTGAGTCTAGATTTGACATTTTTCTAGATCTACATTTCTGGAAATAAGAGACTAAACCCTCTTTGAATGCTATGGTTTTACATATCAGGACATAATAATAATCATCTGTTTCTTAGCCGGTCTTAAAATTAGGTAAATACAACTTCAGATGAACAACAACACATGACATATTACACCGTCTCATGATTTATTTAACAAAAATAAAGCCAAAATGGAGAAGCCATGTGTGAAAAGCTAATTAGACCTTATAATTCAATAGCTTGTAAAACCACCTTTAGCAGCAATAACTTTAATTAATTGTTTTCTGTATGACTTTATCACTCTCTCACATAGTGGTGGATGAATTTTGGCCTCCTCTTCTTTACGACATTGCTTCAGTTCATTGAGGTTTGCTGGTATTTGTTTGTGCACAGCTCTCTTAAGGTCCTGCCCCAGCATTTCAATCGGATTGAGAATCAAGGTGTTGCCATTGCAACACCTTGATTCTCTTCTTTATATGTTATTCTGTTGTACATTTGCTGGGATCGTTGCCCTGTTGCAAGACCCAATTTCGGCCAAACTTGAGCTGTCGGTTAGATAGCCTCACATTTGAATCTAGAATACTTTGGTATACAGAGAACTTCATGGTCAACTCAATGACTGCAAGGCTCCCAGGTCCTGTGGCTGCAAAACAAGCCCAAATCATTACCCCTACATCACCGTGTTTTACAGTTGGTATAAGGTGTTTGTACTCATATGCTGTGTTTGGCTTTCACCAAAAATGGCGCTGTGCATTATGGCCTAACATCTACACTTTGGTCTCATCTGTACAAAGGACATTGTTCCAGAAGTGTTGTACTTTGTTCAGGTGCAACTTTGCAAACCTAAGCCATGCTGCCATGTTCGTTTTAAAGAGAAGAGGCTTTCTCCTGGAAACTCTTCCAAACAAACCTTACTTGTTCAGTCTTTTCTGTTGGTATTGCCATGAACTTTAACATTTAACATGCTAACTGAGGCCTGTAGAGTCTGAGATGTAACTCTTGCATTGTATTGCACAGTGTAACCTTGGGGTGAATTTGCTTGGATGTCTACTCCTGTGAAGATTGGCAACTGCCTTCGAAGGTTTTCCACTTTTCCCATGACTGTGGGTAGAAAATTCACAACTGTCAGTCATACAGTTTAGAATGTATTATTTAGATCTGTGAGTCCTGCATTTTTAAATGTATCACATGTATAGTCAAAAGACCAGGATATTTGTGCTCAGACACTAAGTGTGATTGTCTAACTAGTATATTAGTTTAACTGAGTGCTCCAGAGTTATAAATAAATACATTTATTTATACTACTTGAGTATTCTTAAGTGTACTGGGTTCCCTTTCCCTTAATGCCTCGGTGGCTGCAAGATAAGGCAATAGCCAGAGGTGTAACTAGAAAACATAGGGCGTAAATTGCCCTTAGGCCCCCCCATCTATCTCATTCTCCCCCCATTCTCGCCATGTGTCTCATTCTCCCCCCCAGCCCCTCCATGTGTCTAATTCCCTACCTCAAGCACCCTCTATGCCTTTGATTCCCCAGCTTCTCCATGTGTCTGATCACATCATGTGTCTGATCCCCCCCATCAGCCCCTCTGTGTCACATTCTCCCCCAGTTCCTCCATGTGTCTCATCCCTCCAGCTCCTCTATACGTCTCATCCCTCAAGCTCTTCCATGTGTCTCATTCAACCCTTTCAACTCATTCCCCATGTATCTTTTTTCCTCCCCCAGCCCCTCCATGCAGGGCCGGCGCCACCGTTAGGCCTGCTGGGGGCATCCACTGGGATTTTCCTGGTGGGCTGCCCCTGTCTTGGGCCCCAGCACTGGACGAGAGGCTCTTGAGCCTCCAGGTGCCCGAAAGTGGGGGTGCCCCGAGGAGTCCTGTCACAGGGGACCCAGGAGGTGTTCATCTGGCCACCTCAGGGCGCCCTTGATGCAGTGCTGTTAAGGAATGGCAGAGCCGGCACCTGCTTACCTTGATGGCAGGTGACTGTTCTGCCGTGAAATGCCAGAGGAAAGGGGACAGGAGGCGGGCGGCTGTTCTTACAGCTTCTCACTCATCCCTTGCACACCCTCTGTGATGCCAGGAGCCAGAATATGATGTCATTCCGGGCCCAGCATACTAAACAGCACGCTGGAGGAGTGAGAAGCTGCCCCACACTGGACCCCAGGGAGGCTGAATTTGCCTAAAAAAAATAAAATTGTGTAAGTCTGTGTGTCAGTGAGTGTGTGTTTGACAGTCAGTCCGTGAGTGTGTATGTATGTGTCTGTCAGTGAGTGTGTGTGTGTGTCAGTGTCTGAGAGTGACTAAGTATGTGTCTGTCAGTGAGTGTGTCTGTCAGTGTGTGAGCTCGTCTTAATTAAATTCACCAAATGCACTGAAAACATAATTTATCACAGCGATAAATTATGTATTCATTGTACAATGTATCTATTAGGCAGTTTGTGTGTATAGATGTATGTATTAGGCAGGTTGTGTTTGTGGCAAACCCTGCCACTTGGACTAATTATCCTATGTGAATGGGTGAATTTCACCAAGGGAATAACCACACAAATTGACTTTCATGTTATTGTACTGTTTTTATGCGAATGTCCGAAACTACCGAACGGGAGACCACCCCGGGGTGGTTGTGTGTTTCCCATTAAGTGAGTGATACATTGTTGCGAAGGGAATTAAGTACCTGTATGTGTAGCCGCCATTTCGCCTACTGAACACGTGGCGGCGGCCATCTTACGCACGAACAGCGGTACTTGGTTGTCGAACGCCTGGAACTCAAACCCGGCATTTGACTAACCAAGCACCGCTAAGACCTCCAGCATGCTCCAACAGTACGAATCTAACACACGAACGCCCCGGCGTTCGGTAGATAGATTCCCCTAAACGAAGGGAATCATACGAATGGTAGCAATCGCATGGATGGCTAACTGTTCGGTATTTGTGATTCACTAAAATAGACCGAACGCAGGGCCAGAATTCATGGAACTGTTTTCGGCTACTGAGTCCCTGCGGTCGGTCAAATCTTTAACGGTCTGTAACTCCCGAACCCCTGGTCCGATCTGGGTGAATTTCAAGTATGTTGCTCACCCAGATCAGACCTACCAGGGGACCCCTTATTTGTCCCTGTACCCCCTGTATTTAGGGGACATCCAGAAAGTGGGGAAAACTCTGTCCCCACTAATCTGTTTAAGTGCTAATCTAAGGGGAGGAGAGGGAGGGGAGGTGACCGGGTTACAATTGGTTACTGTACAAATTATGAAAGTTACCTCCCTTGTATGGGAGAAATGCATAAAAGCAGACCTGTGAATAAAGCTGACAGTTGACTCCCAGACTATGTGTCGTCTAGTCCTTGGGGAGGTAGATTATGCTGTGTTCCTGAGATTTTGTATGCTGAATCTTTGTTCCCAGCGGAGAGCCATTGGATTAACCCCTGCTCCTCCGCTACAGTGTTTATGGATGTACGCATTAAGCAGTATGTTTGTATGGATGCATATATTAGGCAGTATGTATGTATGGATGTAGGTATTAGGCATTGTGTGTATGGATGTACGCATTAAGCAGTATGTGTGTATTAGGCATACCTAACTGGAAACCATATGGCAAAACTTAGGCCAAAATAGCTGATGTAGAAGAATTCTCCAATTCGGCTACAGTCACAGTTCAGCTGTTTTTGCTTAAACTTTGCAATTTGGTTTTCAACTCACTGCAATTTAGAGTTTAGTGAATAAACCTCTGTGAGATTGTATTTGCTTTCATGAGGGGGCGGTAAAATGGATCTTTGCCTAGGGCGGCAGAAATGCTTGCACTGGCCCTGCCTCCATGTGTCTACTTTCCTCATCCATGAATCTCTCCTCCCCCTCCTCTCCAGCATGTCCATATATCTCCTCCCCCTCCCCACGATCTTTTTAGAACGCCGGCGTTGGGAGGTTTGTATCACTGAGTGTATGAGTGTGTTCATGCAGAACAGTGTGTGTATGTATCAGTGTGTGTAACAGAGTGTATGAGTGTGTGCGTGTAAATGTGTAAAAGTGTGTGTATGATTTTTTTTTTCTGTGAATATATATGTGCAATAGTGTGTGTACATGTTATATAGGCTGAAAAAAGACCATCAAGTTCAGCCTTTTTCACATCTGCCAAAAGAATACAAAAAAACTCAGTTTGAAGCACATTACAAAAAATCCTACTCAACCTTAGATCAAGAACCTGTTAACCCACATATTAAAAGTGATATCCCTGAATATTATGTTTTTTTTGCAAGAAAACATTACTACAGATCTGCATTGTTCTTACTGTGAAAGCATTTGTGTATGTATCGGTAAAAGCATGGTCTGCAGGCCCAGATTTTCCAGTAGGTTGAGTAGGCACCTGCATACAGGCACCTGTCCTGTAGTGGCCACCTGTTTCCAGAACTTATAATGTGCATTTTTACAGTTCAAGTGGGCCGGTTGGGAGAAATAGGTAGCAGGAGTCTTGGCCAGTGTCTTCTGCAGTTCAGTCAGCCTCCTATGCTTCAGAACAGGGCTGCAGGAACAATTACAGAGAGTGTAATACTTAGTGCTGTTCCAGCTCCTCCCATGTATGTGTGTGAGGCTGGAAAGGAAGTGTAAGGAATGTTTTCCCATCTGCCCACTAACAGCCTCTCATACAAAAAGCATACCTCCAAACTTTGCAATGGGGCGAATCTGGACCTGAAATGTGGGTGTCTCCAGTGATGCAATTTGTGTCACGTCAAAAATAAGCCACACAGAAAGCAGCCAGCCTCACCCACTGAAGAGGCATGTGAGAGAAGTGCCAAACATTCTAAGGTCACAAACAGCTTACCGACTGGCGCCCTGTACAGAGATCCATGCACAGAGTACTGCTTAAGCACTTTCTGCATGGTCCTAGTGACCAGGGCACAGCATATGTGAGTCTGATGATGCCCTTGCATCAGGACACCAGGGAACAATATTTGGACAGGACCCCGAAATCGAGACTGTCCGCCAAAGAACAGTTGGTAGGCATGCAGGAAGTGCCTCGTAGGATGAGCAGGAACAGCATTGCGTGATGCATAATGTGCAACGGCTCATGCATTTTTGTTATTATTCACCAGAGGCTGAATAGACTACAGAAGAAAGTGAGTACTTTGCAAATAATCCATCAATGGAAGCACATCTGGTTCATGGCGATATGAGCTATGAAGCGCGCTTGCATCACAGGGAGGTGGTGGATTCCAGATGCACGAGTAGCAGACTGCAAGCGGAGACTGTAAGCTAAGGCGCTGTGGACTTCATGGAGCTTTTTCCTTAAAATGCTGTTTGTTTTTTATGAAGTAAGAGTTTTTTTTATCTATACTGTATAATAAAGTTTTTTGGTGGTATCATGCTATTGGCTCTCTCCCTGCCTTTCTCTTTTATGTGTTGTGGGATATACACTAAAGTAACGATCATTAATGGGTTTTTAAGGGGTGTATTTATTTTCTTAGTTTTTTTTAGTATTTCAGGCTCATGTGTATATATGTAATATACAAGGTCTAAGTATTAAGATCTTTTGAATAACTTATTAAGTGCAGCACTTTTTGTGGTGGTCTATTGTGATATGCATGTGTGTGCAATTTGTGTGCTTGCAACAATACGTGATTATATTCATATACCAATATTAATCACATTATGTAAATAAAGCTCATCTTTTTTGGTTGTTTTTGTTTATTTTCACATTATCTTCCGCTTATTGTTGTGGGAGGGGGAGCCTTAGAATTCAGGACCTACAGGCACCTGACATGTAAATGCAGCCCTGTATGTCCATGTGTAAAAGTGCGTATATGTGTGTGAGTAAGTGACAGTGTGTGCGTCAGCATGTGCTAGTTGGCACTTAACAAAAGCAATATATGATTATAATAATAATATACAGTCAATATTTCAGATGTTTCTCTCCCATTACCAAAAGTCGAAGAAATGGGACTGAAACATTGACTGCCTACTGTTGCATATTTTCATAAAATAAATTGCAATTGTTTGGTTTATTTGAAGTCTTTGGAGTACACTCCTTCATGTTAACATTTTCAAAAAAAATTTAAGTTGCTAAAGAACAGTGAAGGTTCTCAGCTTGCTGAATTACAGTTAGAGTAGAACTTACATTGGAATGCTACAATGGTCATCTATAATGAATCTCCACTCCCCTTCTTTGACTTCACACATTTTTGAAATTGTGCTTCTTTTATAGCCTGCTTTATTGATTTACAGACTGTATGTTGTACAACATGCGTCTAATTTGTCACATATAAGTTCTTCAGAAACCTCTCTTTCAAATCTGTCTGCTGCTGACCGCCCTTGTCCCTGTTTTTAAAAAAAATATATTTTTTACATGAACTAAAAAAGTTATTTTTTTTAATATTTTTGTCCTTTTTGCCATCCAAGCGAATTGTAATTGTGACGAAATGCCTTTTGTCACTGGATTTTTAGGTGACAAGCTGCCCTTTGCTCCTGGCTGTTGGAGGAGCCTGATTGCCAGCCTCCTGCCTCATGACTATGGCCCTGGGTTGTATGGCCCTTTACAAACATTATTTGGGCGAATGGATTTATATTGTGCTGCTGCTGGCCCTTTAAGAACTGCATTGTGGCTTATGGACTTGTATTGGACCATGCAGGCCGTTTAAGAACCGTCTAGGGACATATTGAGACTTTGTGTGACAATGCCCCTTTAAGACGGTGTCCCCAGTGTCCCCAGACTTGGTTAAAATCCTTTGTTCATTGCTATTTTCCACTTGGTTCCGTAAATGGGGCTTACTGAATGAAGTACCACACAGGCGGACCACCCAGAAGTGGAAGTGTGCAGGCAATTTACCTCCCAGGCTGGGAGCCTGCTGTAGATAAATTGCCGACCGCTGGTTGGACGCAGTTCGTGCAAACGAACACGTGGCGGCGGCCATCTTTGTTTATTCGAACGAGGTCAGCGGTATGTGTAGCCAAATTCATGGAACTGAAATCGGCTACACATTTCAACGAACACCGCTGATCAGGGCCGGACTGGGAAAAAAATTCGGCCCGGGCATTTTTTTATCACAGCGGCCCACTAAGAAGGGGGCGGGCAGAGAGGGTGTGTTTTGTCATCACTCATGACAAACACGCCCCCTCTCAAAGTGAGCATGTTGGTTCAATGCTCTTCCAGGGCAGACCATGCACAGAGCTCTGCTGAAGAGCTCTAGCATGAGAAAAAAGCCCTGTATTTGTTCTGTGCAGTGCAAGCACTGTGTTTCCTTGCAACTTGTCTCTGGTGTCTCTATAAATGGATACCAGGAGACAAAAGGGCCAGGAAAGAGTATTGTGCATGTGTTTGGAGCCTGCTTAGGGTATTGCGTGTGTGCAGAGTGAGCTGGTCGTGGTGTGGTATTGTGTAATAAGGTCGGTTTTAGTCGTGTTGTGTTTGTGGTGTAATGTAATGCATATGTGGCTGGGGCTTTAGAGAATGTGTGTTTAGGGGATGTAGCAAGTGTGTGTATACAGGCTATAGTGTGTGTGTGTGTAGGTGATGTAGTGTTTGTAGAGAGTGTGTGTTCAGGGAATGTAGTATGTGTTTGCTTACAAGGAATCTAGTGTGCTTATAGGGGATCCAGAGTGTGTGTGTGTTTGAAGGACCCAGAATATGTATAGGAGATCTAGTGAGCGTGCGTATATAATGGATTCAGAGTGTATATAGGGATCTAGTGTGTGTATGTGTGTAGATGATCCAGAGTTGGGTAGAGGATCTAGTGTGTGTCTGGAATAAAATGTGTTTAGGGGTGCTGTGTGTGTGTGTGTGTGTCTGTGAGGGGTGCTGTGTATATTTATATGTGTATATATATTATATAAATATGTTTGGAAGTATTGTGTATGTGTGTGATGCAGTGTATCGGGGGGCTGTGTGTGTATGTGAGGGGTGCAGTATGTGTGTGTGATGGATCCTGTGTGTGAGGTGTGGGTGCTGTGTGAGGGTGCTGTATGTGTGGGTGCTGTATGTGATTGATTTGTATGAGGGTGCTGTGTGTGTGGGTGCTGTGTATGATGTGTGTGAGAGTGTTGTGAGTGCTGAGTGTTATGTGTTTGAGAGTGATGTGTGAGAGTGCTGAGTGTGAGAGTGTTGTGTGTGATAGTGCTGTGTATGTGTGTGAGAGTGCTGTGTGAGAGTGCTGTGTGTGTTGTGTGTGAGAGTGCTGTGTTTGTTGTGTGTGAGAGTGCTGTGTGTGTTATGTGTGAGAGTGCAGAGTGTGATGTGTGTGAGAGTGCAGAGTGTGATGTGTGTGAGAGTGCTGTGTATGATGTGTGTGAGAGTGATGTGTATGATGTGTGTGAGAGTGCAGAGTGTGATGTGTGTGAGAGTGCTGTGTATGATGTGTGTGAGTGCTGAGTGTGAGAGTGCTGTGTATGATGTGTGTGAGAGTGCACAGTGTGATGAGTGTGAGAGTGCTGTGTATGATGTGTGTGAGAGTGCAGAGTGTGATGTGTGTGAGAGTGCTGTGTATGATGTGTGATGTGTGTGAGAGTGCAGAGTGTGATGTGTGTGAGAGTGCTGTGTGTGATGTGTGTGAGAGTGCTGTGTGTGATGTGTGTGAGAGTGCTGTGTATGATGTGTGTGAGTGCAGAGTGTGATGTGTGTGAGAGTGCTGTGCAGAGTGTGAGAGTGCAGAGTGTGAGAGTGCTGAGTGTGAGAGTGCTGTGTATGATGTGTGTGAGAGTGCTGAGAGTGCTGAGTGTGAGAGTGCTGTGTATGATGTGTGTGTGAGAGTGCTGTGTGTGAGAGTGCTGTGTATGATGTGTGTGAGAGTGCAGAGTGTGATGTGTGAGAGTGCAGAGTGTGATGTGTGAGAGTGCTGTGTATAAATGTGTGTGGGGGGGGGTAAATAAAGAAATAAAGAAATAAAAAAAACTAAGTAGGCATTAAATCCCCCCTCCCTCTTACCTTTAGCCTGGGAGGGGGGGACAGGCACGTGGTAGCTGGGAGGAGGGGGACCGGCACTCGCACACATCCCTGGTGGTCCAGTGGTGAGTGAACTCTAGCCTGAGGGCTAGAGTTCACTCTCGCGAGATCGGGGCGTTGCCATGGCAACGCGCCGGATCTCGCGAGAGGAACCGGGCGGAGCTACAAGATAGAGCTCCGCCGGGTCCTCTCTCCCTCCCCAGCCGCAGGTCTGTTTAAATGGGCTGGTGAGGGAGAGCTTTGATCTCCCCACCGGCCCTCCATGGCAAACAGCGGGGCCGGCGCTCGGATAGTGCCGGCCCTGCATAGACCGGCAGGGGAGATCCTGAGACTTCCCCTGCCGGCCTCGGCCCATGGCCACCGCGGCCCACCGGGCATTTGCCCGCTGTGCCCAATGGCCAGTCCGGGCCTGCCGCTGACCCTTACCTTCTCCTACACTCAGTTTTCAGCTACAGAGACTAAGTCCCGTTCGGTAGTTTGAACTCACTGTTATACTGAGCCAAATGCACGAACGGCCTCGTTCGTGCATTCGAATGGGACTTAGTCATTTTTCTGCATAAAATTGACCGGCCGCACAACCCAAATCTATGGAACTGTTTTGGGCAGGAAAATGTGCTTGCGGTCGGTCATAAAGGACTTCCGTCCAACTTTTTATCTACTGGATGGATTTGTCTGATTTATGAGAGTGTTTATATTTAAAGTGTGCCGATTCTGAATATGTGATTTGTATGAAGATTGGACGTATATTTTTAACGTTACAGTGTATGTATAAAAATGTGTGGGGGATTGCTATAATCACTATACTCACCAGGGTATAATCACTAAGCTCTGCTAAGAGCTTGTTCCTGTTCCTGCTCTCTGGAATTCGGAGAGGTTGACCTACTGGAAACTGGACCCTGGTCTTGGGTCCAGAGTGGGTGGAGACGGCGAGACCCCAACCAAGCTGCGGCGGTTTGTGGGAGTCTACTGTGGTTATGGTGTCTGGCGGAGTACTTCGAGTCCTCGGAAAGCACTAGGAGCATCCATCAACGGAAGGTACCCGGTCGGGGTGCCAGCGGTTCCGTTATAGTAATCTGAGAACCTCAAATAATAATGTATAGGGGCAGAGCTTCGTCAGCACAGTCAGACACATGAATGCAGAGCTCTGGATCTTACTTTATTAAAGGGACACTGTAGGCACTATAACCATTTTATCTCTTTCAATTGATTATAGTGCCTGGAGTTCCTTGGCACTGTCCCACTATTCAGAGTTTGAGCAGTTTAATACTAAATAAGGGTCCCTGGCCACCCACAGTCCGTCCCCTTCTGGCGTTTTGGCTAAGGCAGAGATTACACACTTCCTTGTAGCCATATCCATTTATACTGTCAATAGGAGTTCTGATAGGCTAAAAGCAGTCAGCTGACACTCTTAGCCAATCTGCTCAGGCTAATACGTTCTCATTTGCCAAAGCAGCATATAGCGTATGCTCTGCTGGTCTATCTCGTTTAATATTAAAACATAAAAACATTAAAACTGTTTAATGCTGAATGGAATGATGGCAACAGGGGCTCAACAATCACATTTTATAAAGGGAAGAGTGTGTCAGGCTTAAATTGACTGTGGGGAGTAACTTAGATAGAATAAACTTAACAGCAGCAAGTAGAGAACCAGCCCAAAAATCTAAAATATAGCCTTTATTATATCATGTTAAAAATCCAAGAAATCAACATTTCAATCTAAAACCTTATAAAGAAAAAACATAAAATCGTAGGTAGAATTGAGTTATTCAAAGGCTTAAATAAAGAATTCAACTTCACACCCTTCATACATGAAAGGTGATTTAGTGAATATATACACTTTTAGAATAGGTATATCTAGTTCTCTCTCTATATATTTTTATTATTTTAAATTATTTGTGATTTTTTTTTGTTTTTTGATATACTACAGGATCAGGTTATTGTGATTCATTATTTATTGATTTGTTTCTGGTGTTTAAGTTTACATGTTGTTTATTTGGGGTCTTTATTTGATTTCAGTTTTACTTTATGCTTGTGACTGGAATCTAAATTATGACTGTACTGGTGTCCCTTATGATACTTTATGTGTACAGAATTTTCTTATTATTAATAATTTATTTATTTATTGTTTTACTTTTCAGCACCTGCTTTGGGGAGGTGGAATTATAATGTATCTTTAGACACATGCCTCTTTAGTATATTTTGTTGAATTTGATAGAAGTTCGTCTCAGGAACCTATTAGGATCCTACATAGACAGGATTAAGGGCTGTTGTAACACGCCCCATACTGCAGTAGTTTACAGGTTTCCGCTTACAGTCAATCAGCATTCAGGGAGACGTGTCAAGAATCATACTTCTGAGAATTTCACATCACTTGTTTTGACGCGGCTGATTTTGATTGGAGATCGAACAAACACCAGTCAAATTTAAAAGTCACCACTATTTAAACCTAAGTGTTCACTACATCGGTTCCCCTTGAAGAGAGTTGAGGCGAAACGCATGTGAGGACTTTGTTTTTTTCATATTTGATATGGCTATTTTTGTTATTTATGTTTGATTTATCACACATAATAGAAGTGAGATCATTTTCTTATTGGATGATTTAATTCCACTACTTTTGAGTTGTATTTTATTTATGACTCCACCCTTTACTAGCCTTAGTATTTTTCTTTTTATTGTTTCTTGTAAGACAAGATTCTATATTGAGAAGAACTACTTACTTATACTCTCACCAGAACCATACTTTTTCTGTACAAGGCTATTGTGAGTCCATGTACTTTAGATAATCTCAATGATTGAAATGTTGATATCTAGGATTTTTAACATGATATAGTAAAGGTTATACTTTGTATTTTTGGTCTGGTTCTCTCCATTTTGTCCTTAAGTTTATTCTGATGGCAACAGGGTACTCCAGACACTGTAACCAGATTAATTAGATGAAGCAGATACAGTGCCTAAAGTGTTCTTTTAATCCACTGAACATTGAATTCATCAGACTCTCTAGCTCTGAATAAGCTTCAGAGAGTGGAGGAATGTTTCTGGATTGTCTTAACCCCAGTCTTTGCACTAACCCAACCAGTTTGCCATCTCGGGTTTTGGCTGGTTGGACTACTGCTCTGGAACTTACGGACAGCTGCAGTATGACATAACTGCACTGTCTTTCCAAGGCTCCCATTTGGCTGCAGAGTGCCACATGGTCCATTACCAGAAATCCTGTTCTGTAACAAGTGTCCCCTTTTGGCGGATTGGTGAGGCCCATGTCTACTGGGTGTAGAAAGCAGCATCCTCTTGCACTTTTACTTAGGGCTTCATCACTGAGACAAGTCTGCTAGCTCCCCCTTAATCCAGTTAGGGTTATTCTGGAATAATAATTAACTTTTTCAGTTGCTCTATAATCAGGCCTGGGGTACATGCTCCCTTGATAAAGGCGTACACGCCAAAACATTGGGGGCTAATCTTTGACTTTTTCACCCTCCTCTCATTCAATTTGAGAGGTTCAATTGGTTCTGGTATGTATTATTTGGTGAATATTTGTATACAGGTATCCATCCTCTTATGTATCTGGATTAGTACTATTTATCCTGCATATCCAGGAATGCTTATTTTTATTTTCTGATTGGGTTATAGTCTTCACATTGAGTGTATATGTATGATTACATTTATACTGAGATTTACAGTTAGATATTTGGTGATACCTCTTACTTTTGTACCTGTATAATAAAGTGCTTTTTATCTTAGTTGGTTGTGCTCCTCATTCAGTACTGGGGTACACCCCTTTTCATTTCTTAATGTGTTGGAGGCATTACGCCACCTGAAATATATGCACCCACACTTCTGATCTGCACCATGTCACTTATTGAGGACTCTCCATTGAGTATGACCTTTACTCTTAAACTACACACTTTTTTGGAGATATTCTGTGAAGCTCTACAGATGATGCAATTCTTGCTGCATCTAGCAATTTCTTTTGAAATGTAGATTGTGTATTCGGATACACAGAGCCAGAGAGCTCATGGCACATCACATTCATACCTACGGATCGTCCATCTATACCTAGAAGGATCCCTTATGCGCTACCGAGGCAATGATTGCCTAGTCTTGGTCAATACAGAAGATCCAGCAGTGACAGGATCAATCACAAGCATTCTTGAGGTTGATGATGGGGGAAGTTGCATGGGTTGTTTGAGTGGGGAGGACCCAGGAGTATCAGTCACATGAGGAATGCCCTTGTCTGTCATTGGCTTCCTCCTTGGTCTAACCATATTCAGCTCCAACCCAGGGACAGTCCTCTCAGCATCCTTTTTTTTATTTTTGCTTTGCTGGCCTATGCTCATGACATGTTAGCCCTCAAATTATTTGGATGGAATAAATGTAATTTGCAAACACAGTATCTTTATTGACTGTTACCTAACACATTTCTGTAATGCATGTTGGGTCCTTATTCAGTTCATATTACTGCATAAATCAACTTCTACTTACTTGTCCTCCTTCCCTTTGCGTCTCCTCTTCCTCATGTCCTGTTCCCATATTCCACGTCTTCTCTCCACTTCCCCTATGCATAGCCTTTCTTCATTCTTCATTATTGTTCTAATGGGACACACATTTTCCAGTGCTTGGACTCTTTTTTGACATGCAGACTATCTAGATACCTGATTTCCATTGGAAACTTAAGAACTGCAGCTTTGTAAGCCCTCCACTTTTTTTTCCTGGAAGAGACTAACAGTATATTTATGAGAAATAGCCTATCAAAATGCTTCTCATTAATAAGCGTCTATATCTTCCCTCCATGTGCCTCCCCTCCTCATGCTTCGAACGTTCGTCTTATCTGAGGAGGATCAAAGGATGTATGTAAGGGGAGGCAGGCACGCTCAAGTAGAGCTAACGGAAGCAGAAAGAAACCTCCCTGGCTGCTTGATTGACAGCTAGAAATCAGCACTTTTATAAAGTGCCTTTGAAATTGCACTCTCCTCACCCATAAAGCACTTCAGCAAGCTGAGGTACTTTATGGGTGTGGAGTGGTTCTTTAACTGTATCCTAGGCGAAAACTGGTATTTGTTTAAATGATGGAGATAATAATACAATTGGTCCCAGCTAATATAAGACTCGATTTAATATTTTTAGATAAGCTTTCAAAAGATTTTTTCTAAATATTAAAATATCAAAGAATATATTATATATATAAGAAAAGACATCAACATTAAGTTGTTATGGTGCCAGGTGGTCCCTGGTGCTGGCTCCCTGCCTTTTTAAGACCGTTTTTTTGAATGGGGAGCCACTGACTGGCTGAGAGCGTCAGCTGACTGCCAATCAGCAACGCTGCTGTCCAATTCTGCAAGAGCCTTCCGGTTTAAAGATTTTGAGAAAACGGAAGGACAGAAAGGCAGGGTGATTTGGCGCAGAAACACAGACTTTGGGGTTAAACCATTTAAGAATGGCTTAACCCCTTGAAGTGAGCCAACGATTGAATTGTTATGGTGCCCAAAATTTTATTTATATGTTGTTTACTGGTATACAGCAACACTTAAACTCAGTATATAAGACTTCCCAGAACTGGACACATGAATTCTTGTCAAAGAAAAAATCTCTTTACATATATCACACACGAGGAATCATTTGTTCAGATTTTATTACAAAAAGAAATTATTACTTTTCCATAAACAGAAAATTCAATCCAACCATCCCAAAATATACAATGAGAATCTAATTTATATATAGCTTGACCCCTCTTGCAGCTGCATAAATTAATCTCTGATATTCACACAGTGTGTGTCAATAATCGCACATACCAAGAGAAATATTTACACAAACAGTCACACATATGGTGACTGGTACGGCATACAGTCATCCTGATGCCCATTAGGAAATCACTGCACTAGGTTAATAACATTGTACAAAATTAAATCAGCTCCTACGATATTCTACAACAGGGATTGGCATCCTGTAGTCAGCACCAGATTTACACCCTGGACACAAGAGGCACATATACTAATCATGTACTCTCTCCTCAGCAATCAATGTAGTGTTAACACAAGTATTTAAGTATACAGAGCAAACACACAGCAAAGAGTTAAAGGTAGTGCTATCACCATGCAGACCAATGGACTTGCTCCATTTGTGTAACCTTGCCCCTGAAATGCTCACTTTGCTTATTTGTCTGTGAGGCACAGACTGGCACTAAAGGGCCTGATTAGAACTGGGCAGAGGATGGAGATGAGTGAATATGGATACCAATTTTTCATGGGCAGTTGCTTCACCTTTCAGTCTGCATCACACACACAGATACAGATCACACTATAGTCAGATACTGACACCTAAACAGCCACACTTGCATTCATACTGACAACCCTGCTTACATACACACTCAGACACACTCCTAAACCCACTTATACAACAAGCTCTGTCAAACCCTACAAATCATACTAGATACAGAAATCCTGCAAGTTATATAAACTGGGTGTACTTAATAGTACAATCTATTGCATTTGCAAGGGTAGCTATGTCCCCTTAAAGGAACATTATAGTCACCTAGAAAAAATTATCCCAATTAAGTTGTCTGGGTGCAGTGTCCTGGTACTCTTAATCCTGCAATGCAAAACATTGCAGTTTTAAAAAAAAAAAAGTTAAGTCCACCTCTAGTGGCTGCCATTATGACACTCATTAGAGGCCCTCCCACTGCACTGACAAAGTAAAACTCATATGACATGGAAGCCCCTTATTCAATGCTTGCCTATGATAATGTTTGAATTCGCATACGGCACTCGCAGCAGATGCGCTTTAGTTTCGAATAGAGGAGCACTGGATTGGACCAAGCAAGAAAAGGGCATGCCTCCCCTGTGATGTAGGTAGCAGCAGAAAGGTAAGCAGCACTGAGAACCCCCAGGCGTTGGAAAAACATAAGTAAAACTTTTAACATTTTACTGCACCTGGTGAGGGGGGAGACTATCGTTAGGAATACAGATTTGTATACCTAACACTAAAGTGTTTCTTTAAAGGCCAATGACATTATAATTCTGTCATAACAAAAAAAAGCTTTAAAGATGCTTGATCAAAAATAGAATATTTTATTCAAATCACAATAGATTAATTAAATACACTTTAGCTTATTTAGCACTAGCACTATTTAATTTGCCTCCCACGTTTGGAATTAGTGTAGGACCTACTGATATTGTGCTTAACACAATTTAGCCATATGGTGGAACTGAACCCCCATATTTGTTTGTTGAGATAGGCGATTTTAAGTAGACTTATAAGATTTAAAAATGTAACTTAATCTGTATTAAGCATGAATTTTGGTCACTACGGCAGCACCATTCCTGCAAAATGCATGTTCAGGGTGTGCTCCCAATTCCTTTTTGTGTTTATTAAAATCTGGACACACAAAATAAATAGGATATTCCATACTAGCACAGAGTCTATAAGAGTAAATGGACTTTAATTCATTTTGTTTTTGCATTGCAAAACAAAAAAGACCTAAGCCACTTATACTCATTGTTGCCAATTACAGAGTTAAGAAACCTGACCAAAAAAAAAAAGATCACTGCATTATTTGAAGAATAATGAATATGGTCTGTAAAAAGATCTCCAAACTAATTGAATTTCTTATCATGTGACAATTTTTTTTCCTTATGTGCACAAGCATGTTTCTGAAATTCTAGTTTAAATAATAAATCAACCACAAACATACCGACAAAATGACACTAGGTAACAATCACTCATTAACCCATACACCTTTACACAATTTTGCAGGTAAAATGCTGTAATATATCAGGGTTGCAGAGCTCGCCTAACTGCTAGTACAGAGTTAACATGTTCAATATCTCATCAAGTTACTTAATTGTAACCTTTAGTGAGCCTAAAGACTGCACACACTTTATTACAATGTATACATGTTTTAATGTGTCCCTCCCTCTGCCCAGCCCATGAAAAAAGATTGCAGTATTTTTACAGAACAGTCAGGGCCTATAAAACCTTGGTGAGATTTATATTTTTATATTTACCATAAGTTGTTTGTGTCCACCTTATAGTAATGGATGTACTGACCGTAATTGTATATGATGGTAAAACGTATTTGTAAGTCATTATGCTGTATTGGTGAAGTTTGTGTCACTGGTATGTCTTTACATATTTTTAAACAATAAAATTATTTGCCATTAAAAATTTGGGGAGAATATGCAAGCAGTTATTTAGAATTATTATATCAGATGAAGCCTGTCAACTGATTGGTTGTGCGTTTACAAAAATGGTCATTTTACTCATAAAAAAAAATATTCTATATGTGTTTTCATAATTAAAATTACTAAAACTATTTATATATATTTTTCCAAAAAAGCTCAATGTTTTCTTTCTTTAACTTTTTGTTTAACCTTTAGCACTGGTGCTGAGTTATGTTTATATGACATTGTTTTTGTCTTTATATTCATGTCCACTCCAGTATCTTCCTCACAGTAAATTTAACTATATGCTCATTCATTTACACAAGTCTCAGACACAAACATGAGTAGTACACCCTTTCTCAAGATACACAGCTTGTTGTTAAGGGGAGAAGCTTTTGAAAAAGGGGGTTATGTCTCAGCCTACAGCAGATGAAGGAGTAGTGGGAGATGCAGGAGAACCTGTGTCGGAGCTGTTCCAGAACAACCAGCGCCTCTTGGGTTGTCTCTTGTGATGCAGGGCTGCCTCTTTGTCACGTTCTCTCTGAGCCCTCTGGAAATGGTCCTCTTCCTTAAGGTACCACACAGGAGGCCAGCGCTGAGCCTCCAGCATCTGCTGGTTCTCTGTAGATAAAAACAGAGAATATATATCACTGCAAACTCATATAGACGCACAAAGCAATATGGTGCATTGAACTGCATCTAGTAAATAAAAATAATTGTATGTACATAAAAGTGGAGCACAATTTCATGTGTACAAGGCATACAATAAATAAAGAATACTTCTATAGCGTAAGATGAGTCTACTTTAAAATTAATCTGGGACGTCCATGTATTGTACATGAAGAAAAAAAAACACAACAAAAACAAAACACAATATATAGTGCAGATAGTTTAGAGATATAGTGATCAAATTGAAGGAACACTGAAGTCACCCAGACCACTTCAACTCAGTGAAGTGGTCTGGGTACATTGGTCCTGTCAATTCAAGCCTTCGTTATAAAACATTGCAGTCTTATAAACTGCAATGTTTACATTGAAGGGCTGAGTTCATGTCTAATGGCTGTCAGCATGACATCTAATAGAGGCGCTGACCAAGTAAAAGTGACGTGGCAGCTCCCATAGGAAAGTATTGAAACAATGGTTCCTATGGTGGTTTCAATGCTCCTATTTAAAAACCATTGGATTGGACCAGGGTGGAGGAGCTGTTTCCTCATCCTTCTTGATGTTGTGGTAGGCAAAGAGGTAGAAAGCATCAGTGCTGTAAAAAGTTGATTAAAAACTTTTTTTTTTTTAAGTTTAAGTTATTGCACACAGGGAATCTAAATACAAGTAGGG